TGATCGTCGTTATTCTCACCTGATGATATCCTATGCGACGTCGAACGCACGAATTCACGATTCGCGACGCATGTCGCATCGGCACGACATACCGTGACTCTGTCCGTGATTTCCTTCTTTTGTCTTTTTCTGTCGCGTACCGTATTCTCGCGTGCATCCGCATGCGACGGGACGGAATGGAACGCGGGGAACTCGCGAGCTCCGTTGTCCAACACAACCGACTGACTATGAGTACCGTATATCACTACGTGCTCGCTGCGTGACGGCGCGGGCGTGTCGTCGCACGCCGGCCGATCTCCCACATATCGTCGCGACGTCTCGCGGTTGCGGCGTCGTCACCGCGCATGCACTCGTCGACCGCGCAAATGCAATCTGGCGCGACGAGATTTTTCGCGCACGGTCTCTTTATTCCGTTTAGCGACCAACGTAAATTAACTTTAATCTTGGTCTAATTTGTTCTTTATCTTTTTCCTATTTTGTAGAAATAAAAACAGATAAAAAATAAATTGAATCTTTAATTAATCTATATACATAGAAATATTATATATAGATAGTACCTTTTTAGCATAAATATATGGTCATTTCTACCAAAATGAAAATTAACTTTAATTTCGGGTTATTCTTTTTTTTTTCTAATTTAGAGAATTAAAGAAAAGTAAAAAGTAAATTAAATCAAAATTAAAGTTAATCTATATTAATAGAAATGGACATTAATTCTAAAAAATATTATTTATGCATTTTATCAAAGTAAATTAACTTTAATCTTGATTTACTTTATACATTTTTTATTTTTTTTACTTTATAGAATTAAAAATAAGTTAAACCGAGATTAAATTGAACATTAATGGATTAAATTCAACGTTAATGGATATTAATATTAATAAAAAATACTGTTCTATTTATATTAGATTAATTTAACTTAATTTAATTTACTTTTTATCTTTTTCTAATTTGTAAAAATAAAGAAAAATAAAAAGTAATTAACATCAGTCTATTAAAAATAGATATTAATGTTAATAAAAAATACTATTGTCTATTTCTATCAATGTAACTAATTTTAATTTACTCTTTATTTTTCTCTAATTTGTAGAGTTAAAAAAAGATAAAAAAATAAGTTAAAAGTCAAGATCGAAAATTAATTTATATTAATAGACATGGATACTTTTGATAGTCGCGGGAATAATACTTCGATGTCTCGAACTTCGCCATGCATAGATTAACTTTTAAATATCACTAATTAATGTTAATAGTTTACATAAAACTCGTGGACTGTTTTTGCAGAATTTTTAGAAATACGTTCACTTTTGCGCGAATTCAGTTTTTATATTTGACTTATCTTTTCGTTCTTGGTCTTAAATATTAGTGCGATGCTCTTAAAGCTCTGAAAATCGCTTCAAATAACTACTTCGATTCTACAAGCTATGTATAAATAAATCGCTACGCAAATGAGTTTCAATCAACAAAATTTGAATTACAAAAATGCCTTGTAAATGCAAATGGTAAACTGGCTCGAGAGTCTGTTTGGAATAAAAGCGAAATCATACGGCCATTCGAATTCGAAATTTTAACATTTCTTTTTCACTGTCACGGATGATATTTTTCACATGTTCCGGTCATATTATTTCGCAATCGTTCTACTTCATTTTTGATAAGATTACGTTATTCATTTCCTCGTCGCCCACGGGAGAATTAACAAAGCCGTCTCGTCGCAGTTGCGTTAAAACGCAGAATATGATAAAACGTATGCGTCACTACGTGATACGTGCATGTAAGGCCATTAAGTCAAAAATACTAGGAAATCACTTAACATGATAAGATGATAAGGCTTAAGATGATAAGAGCTGTCCATATTTTCCAAGAATTTATGAATCAGCTTTGAAAAAATCATCTGCGAAAGCACAACTTTCCAGATTTTCATGAATTTACAAAGTAGGATAAAAGCGCGAAAATATAGCAAACGCATTATTAAGAATGTTTAGAGAAATAGTGTTTAGTAAAATAGTTTTAATATAAATATATAGGCGAAGCTAAATAATTTACTTTGTAACGTTAAAAAAGTTAATACTTATAAGAAATCAAGGAAATAGTGTTATCCAAGAATTGTAATTCAGGAATTGTTTTAAAAATTCAAGTCTAGATACTTGGATAATGAATGGAAAAAGCTGGCACGAATCAAAATTTCTAGTCGATTGGAATCAATTCTGTACATTGAAAATCTCAATTTTTATTTTTCTTTCTCTCGTTTCATGAAATAAAATAATTTAAACGAATAGGATAAGATCGATTATCGCTGTTATAACTCTCTATTTTACAATTTATGACTAGAAGTACAAAGGAGAAAAACAAATCAGCAATTGACAATTTTTCAAAAGATGACTACCTTCCATCATAATGTTTGTTTCTTAACAAAGCAAGTTGTGCTCACATGATTTATTTGGAATAAGAATATATGTCCGTTCTTTATAACTGAAGTAATATACATTTAAAATGAAATAGATATGTATTTGAAGCTCGAAAGAGAGAAAAAAATTTTAACATGATACAATGCAGTGATAAAGAACAGGCTTTATATAACAGTAACAGATCTTGATTATAGACACTATTTCATCAACCTGTTTTTTAAACATGTCAACATAACGTATCTAGGATGTTTCTTAGAATTGATTCGTATTTGATAGTGATTAATTATCGAAATAACGTATCAACTATCAAGCAAATTATAGTCATCTTATTTTAACTTGCAAGATACTATGATATAACAGACTTATAATTATTCATAAGAGATTTAATTAACTATGCTTAACCTAAATCTTAATCTAAGCCGCGTCGGCGAGGAACATTTCTGCTGCTGCTTCTTCCGCATCTCGCACGAAATCTATTGTTTGTCGCTCAGTTCCTTCAGTTTATCCAGCAGCGCGTTTCCAAAGGAGCTCCTGTATTGCGGACTGACGAAATTCAACAGGCCGTATGGTGTCTCGAAACGCTCGTGCCCCGTGTTCGACGTATCATCGTGCTGATTGCCGACGATGGCGAAACCGGCGGCCGACAGCTCCACGCAAAACCGCAGGCCCTCCAGCGTGATTAGGTTCAAGTAGATGATCTGATTCGTGCTAGTTAGTCGCTCGGACACCCTCAGATCCTGCACATGTTCCTTCACGTCATTAATTATCGCCTGCGCCTCCAGCCGCCACTGTTCCGTGTCCAGCACCCGGTCCACGTCGTCCCGCATCACGAGATGATGATATGAATACAAACCCTCGATCACCCTCCGATCCGCGTTGTCCACGACACCGAAATCGATCTTCTCACGACGCAACCTAAGACACTGCAAACACAACCCCAACGTAAAATCTATATTTCCCTATATTTCACCATTACGTCCATTTTCATTAATTTGCGAATCAACTTTAATTTCGGTTTAAGTTATTTTTCTTTATTTTAATTAAAAAAAAACAAGAATAAATTAAATCAAGATTAATAGAAATGAACATTGCTTATTGATATATATTCATTTCGCCAGATTCTTTTTAGTTTCAGAAGATAAAGATTAATAATGATTTTAATTATATAAAAATATATTTAAATTAAATTTTAAAGTTTTATAATTGAATAGTATTTATATTATCAACTATTTATATAAAATTTTCAGAATATTCAGAACTATCAGAATAAATTAATTAGAAACAATTAATTTATAATACAATATAATACAATATATGAGATTGATGATTTAAAAAATATCTCTATTTTTATGAAATATTTGAAGCTTGTTAATCTTTCTTAAACATTTCGATAACTAAATCGACAATGAATAATATTGGAATATTGTTATCTAATTCAGTTCAAGAAAAATAGTATATGGATATTTAAATATATTTTTAAGACATCTTTTTTTTAATAATATCTATAGCTTATACATCTCTCTTGTATTTTTTGACTAAATCGATAAAATTCAATAAAATAATTTTAAATATTTCAGAGATATAATTAAAAAATTAAAGTTAGAAATTTAAATAATAAAATATACAACAATTAGATATCATGTTGTTGTATAATCACGTATATTTTACATTTAATAAAAATACTTATTTTAATATACATCATATTTGTAATCACATATACAGGACGTTTAATAAAAATGGATACGAATATCGGGACGAGTATCTCTTATCGCATGAGTTCTTTTGTTTCTTTGTGCAAATAACTTCATTCTTTTTACATGGTCACTGTTCCGCCAGTTCATATGTATCATCTATGCTCAAATCACTCAAATCTTCCCCCCATCCATTAACGTCGTGTTCTTCCAAAGTGGCATCCGATGCTTTCACGTCGAACATACTTTTCGGTAATTGCACTTCCGGTATGTGCAAGACCTGTGTCTTCTGTATCACAGGTTCCATATCTGTAAAGAAGTCAAATTCTTCCTTCGGTGATTTTATTACTTTTGAATTTTTTATGTCGAGCTCGGTAATATCAGAAAGTACCAGCTTCTTCGTATACTTTGGTTTCACTGTGGTTTCACTCGATGGTAATTCCGGCAATGGCGAGGGTGACGTCGAGGGATCGCAAGTAGGATCTTGCAATTCTATCTTCTCTGTATCCAATAGACTTTCTTCTTCTATGTGAAAATGACCATTCCCAACTGACTCTTGTGTTTCCCAATCTGACCAGGTGCACTCCTCCTCCACGAATGAAAATTCCTTTTCCTTTTTGTCTTCACCACCATCCGGCGATGGCCTCTCTGCTAGATGAACGTTAATGTTTTCATCTATATTTACGAAAACAGGCATCTCGCGAGTAAATGATAAAGCCTTGCTGATGTCATCGAGATTTTTGCTTCGAATCGCTATCTTATTTGGTCGACCATCTGTAAATAATTTCCCTCTGTTTCCACCGATAACTGTTGCTGCACCTAAAATCGGCACTATATCAGCCAGTGCTCTTAACGTAGCACAGACAAGATCATCATTGGTATCCTTTATGCCAACGAGTAATTCAGGAAGAATATGATTTTTCAATTCGTCCGCTTCAAATACATGCACGAATGAATTGAAATGAGACAGTAATAATAGACGAATAGAAACGTCTCGAATGCAAAACATTTGTAGAAGTTTTGGTATTAAAATGCTCTTAAAAGTAGGAACTGTAAATAGACTAGTTCCCAAATCATTTTTTTCATCTGTAAAAGATATTAAGTATCTTATTAAACTGTTTTTTATGTGAAATGAAATTAATATATATTATATATTTAAATAATTAATATAATAAAAAAAGACAATTGAGATTTTCTGCATACAGCAGTATAATATATTCTAACCTTTGGGTTTAAAGATAAAAGGTAAAAGTTTTACTTGGGCAGTGCTATCCAACAAAACTATCCTGGAAAGAAGTACCCTCCCTAACTGTTCAGCAACAACAGCCTCGGGATACATTTGTAATTGTTGCCTTAATTTCCTGAAGAATAAAACATATTTTTTTATAAATATAGATATTATTTTTTTAATGCTGATAAATATCGTATAAATAGATACTATATTTTTCCTAGAGTTACTTACGTGAAGAACTCTTCTCTTTCGACGTCGGTTTTTAATGGTAATTCTTCTAGAAATGCATGTATTCTTATAAACTCGTGAGTGAAAAACGAATGTTGCAGCACGTTCAATAATCTACTTCTTAAACATGCATCTGAATTCTGCAGATTCTTTTTACAAAATTCCCTAAATTCCAACAAGTTTGATGCTTCATCTAAAATCAGTTTCAAAAGTTTTATGCATATATCACTCAATAAAAACAGTATATGTTTCTTATACCTATATGTTTCTTAATTTTTATGTACCTGTATTTTGTAAATTATTTAGAATATCCTCTGCTAATACTCCAAATGCATATGCATCAATTGCGGTAAGATTAGCAGACTTAACTAGATCAGCTATATCTTCGTTCGACGATATTGCCTTCTCGTATCTATAACTTTTTATTCGTTGGTAATACGTCGGTGTTGCATCTGTGAATTTACATAGGCATTCTAATCCACCCAACTTCCAGTATCCCTCCGTAGTGACGTAGATAGAACTACTGCACACATTGTTATGTGATGCCAATGCAGTCTCGTGCAAAAATATTAACGCTCGCAGGATACTGTGCAGGCCGATACATATTTGTAATATATTTTGTTTTTCAATAACTTGAATCAGTGGTCTGGCTTCTTCTGTGGCAAGGAAGAACTTGCTACCTTTGTTCCATGATGAAATATATTTCAAGATACAAGGATGCCGATGCAACATAAAATTCTAAAATATATAATATCATAGTCTTTGTTGATTTTTGATAATCTCACTTTTGCAAAATAAACATATAATCCATATTACTGTAAAAAAAAACAATAAAAAAAGAATGATTCATTTATAAAAATTTTAAAAGAAGGAATGGAATATAGGCATTTATTATAAATTTTATGAAATTTAACACTTGAGCTAAAACTAGAAATAGTATAACATCTCTTATTAATAATTTCCCACGATATTTGCATAGTTCTATCTTTGAAATAGGATATAAATTTATATATATTTTATTTTCATAGAAAGATTAATTTCTTAGAAAGCCTTCCAAAATACTGACCTTTTCTCTAATATCAATTCAGAAATAAAAAGATTATTAGGCGTCGAAGATTCGACCTTACTGAGTAACGCCTATGTTCCATTCCTGTGCTTGAATAGATATTTATTTGGTTGTTTAAAAATTATAAATTGTGCTTCAAAGTATTTCCACCTAAATAAGATAAATTGTTCAGGAAGTATAATCGTTCATTATTATCGTTAATCATCTTAAAAATATATCTTAAAAATATATAAAAATGAATGGACAGTTAGATGTCAACCTTCGCCGCTCGCTCCAATGGCGACGGTCTACCGAACGTGGCTGCAAAGTGCAGCGATGGTTCGCTGATGAAGACCGACAGTCTCTGCAGGTTCGAGTCGTGCACGCTCGCATCGTAGTGCATCCAATAATCGGTAACTTCGACGGCCTTGTCTTCGATCTCGAGACCGCGTAGAGCACTCTTCTCGTTCCCCATTAGTCGATCACCGTTGTCACGCGGACCGTCAGTTATGTCGTGTGCAAATCATTCGATCGTAGGAACATCGAGGATACGACGTCGACACGAGTAGATTCCATTTGATTCGCAATTCGCACGTTTTTGCGGCCGACAATGACAAACACTCGGATCGGATTCCGACAGCACCGTTACGTGTGCGCCGAGCTGTTATTAGGTTAGGTTGAAGGAATTATCGATCCGCGATTGATCGATTTCTCGATCGAGTCTCGACGAATATATATTGAAACATAAAATACATATTACTGCTATTTATTATATATGTTTTTATATAAGCTGCTTGAATCGTAGGTAAAGATAAATTAAGATTTTTTTTATGAACAGAGAAGTGATTACATTAACATATGTCTCATTGTTATGCTTGTAATAAGAACTAAAATTTGTAACTCTGGAAATAAATGAGATAGGCATTCTCGGATAATGCTTAATAATTATTTTGTGAATTTATATAATTTTATTTTTATTACATATATAAATTCAATAGGGCCCTGTTTCTATCACCAATTATATATTATTACTTTTTAATGAGTTTTGAAACATAGTTAGCCAAAATCTTTTCAGAAATTTACTCAACGGAAAAATTTCCACTCAAAAACTATCACATACATAATATTTAATTTAAATATTCAAATATATATTTAATTTATATATATGTATATATATATATAATTAAATATGTATTTAATATTTAAATTAAATATTATGTATGTGATAAATCATTTGTATCATTTGTATTATCAACGATATGTCGATTAATTAAAGATTTTCTGAAAGTTGTACAATTATTTCCTTTCCAAGATAATTTTTATACATGGTCTTATACAGCATGCGTTTGAAAAATGTAAAATCCGATAGAATACCTTTTTATGCAAGATATTCATTGTTAACACAAATAAGCGAACGATAGCATACTTTAAAATTAGTAGCGTATTGTAAAAAGAAGTATAATAACAAAGAATGAATGAGAGCAGCGCAGTATATCGATACATGCATATTTAAGCAAATCTTATTAAATTACATTATTTTTAAGCAAATCTTCATTAAATTACAAAAAAAATATCACATTTGTAAATAAAAATCAGTAACACTCATTTAATGCATATTGCACATATAATATCAAAGATTAAATCATACAGCGTGCATATCTCAATTCTTTAATCTTGAATGATTTGTTCATTTAATTCAAAATACGAAGAATTTTTGCTTCATTCTTGTGTCTGTCGCGTGATTATCGTCTTTGTTATATATTAACATTAAAACTGTTATTAAACTTTGTTATTAAATTGTGTTTAAATTTTGTTAAATAAAAAGAAATATACATTTGAAAACCTGATTAATTTACAATTAATTTAGCTAATTCTTAGTTTTCCGATTTCATGAAAATTATTTATCATCTTCATATAACAAGAAATATTACTTAAACCATCATTATCTCTTGCAATTTCTTTTATTATTAAATGTTCCTTTTTTTATTAATTTCCTCGCCTACAGTTCTCTGTTGGGTTGTATCAACTGTATAAATTAATAGTAGCAAATTGCCATTTACTATTTTATTTTTCACGTTTAGCACGTATAGGTGTATAAGTAATGTTCGTCATATTTCTAACTACAGATAATAATTACAGGCGCCCTGCGATAGGTAAACGGGTCTGTCGTATTACTTTTCATGTGTTTAATACTTTAAAACATTAAATATCAGAAAACGAATAAAACTTTGTTTTAAAATATCAACAATTTATATATTGTCATCAATAATAACAATCATATCACGAAGATTCTTATTTTTTCATCCGCTAAAAAATAGGACAAAGGGATAATAAAATCGCAAAAACAATACTCTCTAAATAAATAACATCCCTCTCGCATTCTCTTATATATTAAAATATGGTCCTATAATAAAAATCATTAAAGTATTTTAGTATCGTTGTGAGACGACTGACTATTGTAATACGACAGACCAGCTCGAATCTATATGTTGTGTGATATAAACAAAATCCACTTCGCATTTAAGCTATAAATGTCGTTAAACAAATTTTAATATTTTTAATAAAATTTATCGAGAGTATCCTATGAGACGTACTCATACAATTGAATTGTATTTTTTTTCCATTTACTTACTCTTTTTAGCTTATTCTTCACCTTCATTATCCACTGAGTGTACACGTGCAATAATAATAATAAAATAATAATTAAAATAATAATATAAAATAATAATAGCAATCGTATTAACAGTAATAATAGTAATTGCAGCAGCAGCAGTAGCAGGTAATAATAATAGTATACAGTAATAGTAGTATAGTAATCGTAATAATCTTAATAATAGTGATAGTATTAACAAGAGCAGTAGTAATAGTGACAAATGATAACGATAATAGATATAATGATAACTAATAAGAAGATAATATATAGTAACGGCAATATAATAGTAATAATACAACAAAAGATAACAGTAATAATAATAGAAATTAGAGACGAGCGAGCGAGCGAGCGAGCGAGAGAGAGAGAGAGAGAGAGAGA